CGCAAGTCGCTCAATCTCGGTGGAATCAACAACGCCAAAGAGGAAACGGCCATTTGAAATCGGGACGTCGACGCCAGAATCAGGAGGGTCTACGCCGAAGAATCCGTGGGTTCTTCCACCCCTCATCTCTCCGCCTTCGTTATCACCCATCCAGGACTACTGAAGGGACACAGACATTACAGCAGGAGAATCCAGATTCCTCGACGCAGACGGAACATCGGGAAAAAACAGGATTCATCAACGCAGACGGAATCATCTGGATCCATTATAGCAGAGTGCAGCGTGGAGAACGAGGACGAAAACGAGGACGACACGGAAAATAATTTTGTGAAGCAAGAAATATTATGCAAAAATGTTGTAATGTTCAAAAATAATTAAATATGTTCTAATAAAATAAATAACAACAAAAAAAACAACAAAAAAATCTTAGCAATTATTTAATCGGACGACGTTTCGTCCAAACTATAAATTGAAAAATATTACTTTTTTATCGACTGAAGTTCAATTCTGTCTTATACAATTCTTTGAGATTCACTCAATTATTTCCTAAAAAATTGGAAAAATTTTGTAACCAATTTCCAAAAAAATACCGGTTCCCAAAAAGATCGGTAACAAAAAACTATACAGTTTATAGCACTCCCCGGGAAATTCTACCCCTATTTTATATACAATCCGTTAAAATTCGATCAATTATTTCCCGAAAAATTCGAAAAACTTCTGATATTGATTCCCAAAAAGATCGGTAACGAAAAATTATTTACTTTATAGCACTCCCCGGGAAATTCTACCCCTACTTTATGTACAATTCTTTGAGATTCAATCATTCGGAACCGATTTCCAAAAAAATCGGTAACAAAAAATAGTACACCTTATAGCACTCCCCGGGAAATGCTATCCCTACTTCATGTATAATAATTTCAGATTCATTCAATTATTTCCCGAAAAATTAAAAAAACCGGTTTCCAAAAAGATCGGTAACAAAAACTATACACATTATCCCGTAAAATATATTCTACCCCTACTTCATATACAATTCTTTAAAATTCGGTCAATTATTTCCTGAAAAATTAGAAGAATTAGAAAAACCGGTTTCCAGAAAATTGGTAACAAAAAACTATACACATAGTGGCACTCCCCGGAAAATTCTACCTCTATTTCATATACTTTTGGTAAAAATTCGGTTCAGGGGTTTGGGCTGGGCGTTGATGAGTCAGTCAGTCAGTCAGTCAGTCAGGACATCTTCCTTTATATATATAGATTAGAAAAATTGCTAATAATAAAGGGATTATCGATTTCTATCTAAAAAAATCTACATAATTACTCTAATTTCCGCAAATTTTGAGATATCGAGCTAAATTTTTTTTATGGATAGAGTATCATTGTTGAATTTGGCAATAATCGGTGAAGGGGTTACCGATTTTTGCCTAAAAACTGTACAAGTTATACATGTAATCTTATATATAGGGTATTATTAAAGAAAGGTTATTTTGAATTTGGCGAGAATCGGTGATGTATAGGCCTAAAAAATGTATAGGGTAGACCAAGGCGAATCGGATCAATATATTGAACTTATAAGTTTTAAGGGCGGTATTCATAGTCGGATCTTATTTCAAGACCGTCTTAAGTAATGTCTTAAGTTGCTAATACGGTCATTTGATTGGCTGGACGGAGTCTTAAGACTGCTTTAGACCAGACTTAATGGTGCGTGTCCACCTGCGAGTAAGAACTCTCGAGAGCAAAAAGAGAGAAAGAGAGAAAGACTCTCGAGAGTCTTTCTCTTTCTCTCTTTCTTTTTGCTCTCGAGAGTTCTTACTCGCAGGTGGAGACGCACCATAAGACAATCTTAGATATAAGATCCGACTATAAATACCGCCCTAAGACAGTGTTTGTTGTTGTGTTTCAACCGAGCTGTTTTATCGTGCTAATTAGTAATTAGTACGATAAAACAGCTCGTTTGAAACAAAACACTAACGAAAACAGTCTTGAAACTTATATTGATCCGATTCGCCTCGGTCTACCCTAAAGTTATTTGATGGATAGAGTATCGATCATTAAAGATTGTTATTGAATTTGGCGAGGATCGGTGAAGGGATTACCGATTTCTGCTTAAAAAGTTACATGTATAAGTTATACATGTAATTTTTTATATCAATTAAAGAGTATCATTAAAAGAAGGTTGGTATTGAATTTGGCGATAATCGGTAAAAGGGTTCTTTCTTTATAAAATTTTGAATTTTTTGAAAAATGTTCATGGTTGCTCTAACTTCCGCCAATTTCAAGATATTGGGCTATTTATAATTTTATTATATTCGTCAGTCTTTTTTACCCCTATTTCATATATAATTCTTTAAGATTTGGTTAATTAGACCCAACTTTATACGCAATTAAAGGTCCATATGCGACCGGAAATAAGTTGGCGCTGCAAGTTCATATTTTTTAATGAACTATAGCTCAAACGATTGCTCCTTAATTGCTCCCTCAGAACAACAATTGCTCCCTTTTTAAAATTATTATTTTTTGAGATATTTAATAAAAACGAAAAATTCCTAATTTTTATTGAAAAACATATTTATAATAACTCTATGCAACTAAATCCGGCATAGAACGATTGCTCCTTCATTGCTTCTTATTGCTCCATCATAATTTTAATGATTTATTGCATTTTTTATTGAAAAATTAACAAATTAATCATTTCACAAGTAACGCCGCCGCCGCCACTATCGGCTGCCTATTGTAACTATAGCTCGGCAGCCATTGGCGGAAATATTCAAACGTAATATAATAGCTCTATTGTTCATAACTATATCTCAAAGAGTTTAGTCAACATTTTTTATTGATTTTCGGTAGAATAACTATTTCTCGCTTCGCTCTATTGGGATTTTCAATCGCTCTATTCGTCGGCTTAAATGCCCATCTACAATAGGTGTTTTAAGCCCTAAACCCTAAGAAATTTACCAATCACAGTCAATTTATTCTCCTCAAATTTAATTGTGATTGAACAATTTCTTAAGGCTTAGGGCATAAAACACTTATTGTAGATGGGCACTAAGGCTGAGTTTCCACTGAGCGCGTCACGCATCGCGTTATCCGTCGCGACCAATCAAAACATCTTATTTTATTACATTATTTGTAATGGGATGTTTAGATTTGTTAAGCCCCTTGCACAATGCCAGACAACAGGCAATAGAAACAGGAAATAACCAAAAAATCGTTAATTACAACCTAAAAAGTTCGAATGCTATGATTGGTTGATAACAGGCAATAGGCACAAAATTTCCAACGTGACGGAAACTCTGTGTCTATTGCCTGTGTCACTGTTTATTCTGCATTTATACATGATTTCTGATTTCTATTCTTTGTTCCTATTGCCTGTTGCCTGGCATTGTGCAAGGGGCTTTAACGACAGATGACGCGACGCGTGACGCGCACAGTGGAAACTCAGCCTAACGTCAATAAGGGCTCATGCACAATGCTGACAGGTGGGCAATTAAGGAACAATCGTTTTATGTTGGATATACTTGCAGAAGGCTGTGAGAAATGTATTTTTCCAAGAAAATAAACAGTTTCTTTGCTAAAATATCATACAAAATTAATTATATGAATGGAGCGATTGAAAATCCCAATAGAGCGAAGCGAGAAATAGTTATTCTACCGAAAATAAATAAAAAATGTTAACTAAACTCTTTGAGATATAGTTATGAACAATAGAGCTATTATATTACGTTTGAATATTTCCGCCAAAGGCTGCCGAGCCATAGTTACAATAGGCGGCCGATAGTGGCGGCGGCGGCGGCGCGTTACTTGTGAAATGATTAATTTGTTAATTTTTCAATAAAAATGCAATAAATAATTAAAATTATGATGGAGCAATAAGGAGCAATGAAGGAGCAATCGTTCTATGCCGGATTTAGTTGCATAGAGTTATTATAAATATGTTTTTCAATAAAAATGAGAAATTTTTTGTTTTTATTAAATATCTCAAAAAATAATAATTTTAAAAGGGGAGCAATTGTTGATTCTGAGGAAGCAATTAGGGAGCAATCGTTTGAGCTATAGTTCATTAAAAAATATGAACTTGCAGCGCCAACTTATTTCCGGTCCATATGCGAAGTCCATATATGGACCATGTAACCTGAACTCCCAAAGTCAAAATCGATTTGACATTGCATCGATTGTAAAACCCACTTATGCTACTAAGCTAACCCTCTATCAGTTCATAAAAAAATTACATTTAAAATTAAAAAAAATGTGCAAATTAGAAACTTTCACATTGCTTCCTCTATGAGGAAGCCAAACTAATAAATACTATAAATAATTATGCATCGAATAAAATACAATCTTCTTCATAATAGGAGCTTTGTGAGCGAAATAAAATAGGAGCAATGGTAGCGATCTGTAATGATGAGGAAGCAATATGCAAGTTTCTAATTTTTTAAATATGGAATTGAATATGGAATTGTATATAAATATACTCAATATATATAATAATAAAAGAAATTTATTACATATTTATACAATGTTAGTTAATTATATATGAAATAGTTAAATAAATCAGTCTTTTATTATTTGACACAAAAATTTTAGTACAAACAATATAATATGTACATCCGTGTTTTAAACGAATATCTATATGGTTTTGTATTATAAGTAAAATTAATTGATTACGGTGGTCTATAAAAAGGTCTTGCTCGAGATAATGTTTATTATTATCAAAAATTGTACTTGGAAAAATTTCAAATGTTTTAGTAATTAATACTGTATTTATGTTTTTAGCTAATAAATTTTTACATTAACGTACTTATGATTTTTTCTATACATTTGCAAATGAAATTCACATCATCAGATACAAAATTCAAGCCTCCACGATTTTTTAAAATTGTTAATTTAGATTTAAAAGTACTATTGGCTCCATCTAATAGTAGGTAATAGTTCACAGCACTTTTTACAGTGAATTTTACGTTTTAAAATATGAAAAATTGAACCAGCTGTATGTCTAATGATTTCTTCTGCGTATTCAGGAGAATACCAACTTTCACTTTTACTGTAATTATGTTCAAAGATATGATATTTGTTATTTTGCAGAAAAACATTAACTTGAGTGGAAGTAAATTTTACTTCACAAGGAGTGTTTCTTCTCTTTTTTCTTCTCTTTTATCAAAACTTTTAAATTTTTTATTTTTTTTCCTTTGCGTGAGTTTTTGTTATGTGCAGCTGCCATTTTCGATTTTTTATAAGTTGTGAATCTTAAGAATCGATTCCAAGCTTCATCAGAAACGAAGTCTTCTCGAAATATATATTCTGTTTTAAAACCATTCATAAAACGAACTCTTTTTACAGCTTTGTTCTGCGTAAATACATTTTTCCTAAAATTTTAATTCTTTTAATTTATATATAATGTAATTGCATTTTGAAAATAAAAATATTAAGTATTTATATTGTAATATTTTGTAATAATATTATCTATATTATATGTATGATAATTCACATATATACTTTATTATTACTGTAAAAGAGAATTAATTACCTTTTTTTACTGTTTGAGTCATTGCTTACACTACTATTATTTAGTTTATGTGAACAAATTTGCTCGTTTAAAGAGCCTTTATCAAAACAATTCACAGGCATTTTTTCTCCACATATCTTAGTCTCTTTATCACAATCTTTATTTAATTCTAAATTTTTCTCTTTCAATATATTATTTTCAGGTTTATTAATACTGCTAACTAATACTCTATCCGTTACTGCCTCTTTGGCAACATTCTCTGTTAACAAATAAGATTGATGTAAATTTATGTTTTCAGGAACAGCTTCTGGTCGTAGTCGTTTTCTGCTTCTTAATTCATCAGAATAATGAAAAAATTTGTCATCAAAGTGGTCGCTGCATATATATGTAGTTTTGAAGTTTGGAGTTGTTGATAAATTTATAGCATCCATCCATTTTTTTCTTAATAATTCATTTTTGGGAAACCTGTTTATATTGAAAATTATAATTTATTAAATATATTTGAAATAACTTTTATTAAATATATATAATTAATTAAATTTTGAGGTTAGAAATATTAATATGTAGATACTTACATGTGAAAACTACGAATGGAATTAGGAGATGCTTCTATTTTACATATCAAGCATTTTTTTGTCATCTTAGAAAATTACGTAAAATGTTACTTAAATAAGAATAAATCCGAATAAAACAAAGGACTTATTTAGTACAATATAGTTAGCCACAATTAAAACAACATATGTAGTCCAGTACCCCGATTCTGTAACTCTAAGGGTGAGGCTGGTTTCACATAGGGCGTAAGATGCGTATGCGTAACTTGCGTCAGCCAATCAAATCGTCTTAGTATTTAATCGTATCATACGCGTATAGTAGCTGAGACGATTTGATTGGCTGACGCAAGTTACGCATACGCATCTTACGCCCCATGTGAAACCAGCCTTAAGCTGGTCACACACACTTTTTCGTAACAGTAACAGTAGGATTTCGACCAATCGTGTTACTCAATTCGGGAACGTACGGCCGTACGTTTTCGAATCGAGCAACGCGATTGGTCGAAATCCTACTGTTACTGTTACGAAAAAGTGTGTGTCCGGGGCTAAAAGCGGGGAGCACACACTTCTGCATAACGCATAATACGTAAGCATAAGAAAACTGATTGGTCCATACACATGTGCATAAGGAAATAGATCATATGGACCAATCAATTCTCTTATGCTTATGTTTATGCGCTATGCAAGTTTGTCTGGATTTAAACGGGGAGTACACACACTTCTGCACAACGCATAATGCGTAAGCATAAGGAAATTGATTGGTCTATTTCCTTATGCACATGTGTATGGACCAATCAATTTTCTTATGCTTACGCATTATGCGTTATGCAGAAGTGTGTTCTCCCCGCTTTAAGCCCCGGACACACGAATCGACGGAAGACGTAAGACGTAAATCGTAAGGAAATCCACTAATCAGAGTCGACTATTCCCCTTTTCTTCCATCTTAAAGAGGGGAATAGTCGACTCTGATTGGTGGATTTCCTTACAATTTACGTCTTACGTCTTCCGTCGATTCGTGTGTGAAGGCCTTTACCTTTACACAATGGCCTAGTTTACACCGATCACTTGATACGCGTATTAAATAGTAAATAACTAGTAAATAAGTCTGATTATTGGCTGATCAGTTCAAATATACTATTTGATACGCGTATCAAGAGATCGGTGTAAACTAGGCCAATGGGTGCGTTCAGCCGATACTCCGCTAGCCTAGCAATCGTGAGCAGTCGCTCGTTTTCGCTCGTTTCCTTTCCTTTGACCCAATGGATTAAAAGGAGAGGTTTCGCTCGTTTCCTCTCCTTTGACCCAATGGATTAAAAGGAGAGGAAACGAGCGACTGCTCACGATTGCTAGGCTAGCGGAGTGTCGGCTGAACGCACCCAATCAGCGATCCAAAGATTCCAAAGCGATGCAGCGCTCAAAACAGACCGTATTAACCGTATACCGTATTGTCCTCTGAAAGAGGAAGGAGCTAAGAAATATAAGTGATTCTCTTCCGTGCTATGTCCACAATTTTTCGATTCTCTTTGGAAAAAAAACCAAAAAATCGTGAACATAACACGGAATAGTAGGTACTACAAAATTGTGAACATATCACAAAGTCGTGGACATAGCACAAAAGAGAACCATAAAATCGTGAACATTAATTTCACAATAAATTCTTTATTTTAGATAGTTAAATTGAATCGATTTAATTACGGGGTGGGAGGGGATTTTACTACTCCAACGGGAACTGTATTCTGTATTCTGTATTCAATCGGACAAATCTAGCGAGAAGCGCGTAGCGAACGGCCTACAGTGCCGACACGTAAACGTCATAAACGCGAAAAAGCGATTGGACTGGATTGCACGGGGAAGCCGAAGATCGAAACCGATAATTGATATCCTACTCGGGCTTCCGCGGACTCGGATGACGTGGGATGACGTTGGCACGCGCGCAACGACGGTGCCGAGCATCCCGCATATTATATCTGCGCCGTCGGAGATTGCTCGTCTCGCGACGATCTCGGTTATCTTGACATTCTTAACCTTTCTTCCAATCTCGCAACGGTACGTCACGTCGTCTCTCGTACAGTTGTCATCGATTTATTATACCACCCATGGTGTAAATAGACACCATGATACCACCGTTCACGCTACTCGTGTATATACATACATACATTACATACGTGCATGTCATGCCGGGCAAGAGATGAGCTCGAAAAAGGTACAGAGGCTGGAACGATCGCATATAGCGAAAGTAATTAACGCCACTCCGTACCGCGCAGCGGTGGCTTGTTTGTGTCAAGACTGTCAGGAGATGACACGCGTTTATTTTCCGATTTCCCTGCTTTGCGACGATAATCGGCAGTTACAGTTTCGGCGAGAGCACTACGCGAATTAACGCGAGGATACAATCGAGATATCTGAACTCTGAAGTGTTAAAAATCGTTACATGACGCGTATATGTGTTTACCTCTGTAGGATCGTGATTCGTGATAAATTCAATAAGCTGCGTATGTCATTCGAGAGTATTGGAGTTACTTGGAGTGAAAATTGTGTGTACAAAGTTTGAAAACAAATCAAGGATCTCTTTTGTGTATGTACTACATTAATTTGACGTTATTTGTTATATTTTCAGTGTCTGTAATGTGACACAAACGGAAACCATCTGTTCAAAATGGCAGCGATTTGTTCCGGACGACCTGGTTGGTTAGGGAAGCTCGGAATAGCATTGCTAGCCACATGGTTTTTGATACTGATTATATCCATCGTTCATATATTCAAGTCCAACTCGTTGTTAAGCCATGATACTGACACTGCCAACAAAGAGAACACTCAACGCCTAACACAAATGGTTAACGACTTTGAAATTCTAAAGAAGCAGAACGATGCATTAAAGAACTTTATATTAGGGTATGTTTGCGTACAGCACATTATGTATATATGTATGTAAAAAATAAATGGGAAAGTTCAGCAACACTGAAAATGCAAAAAATTTGAAACAGAGTACTACGATCTTTTCGTTGTATAGACTAACATAATTTTCAGAGAGGGATCGAAATCTATACAAGGCGACCACTTAGGCTCCGTGCAAGACAAGCTTGAGAAAGCGTCGGTCTATTATGACCTGATAGATCATCAAGATGGATCAAAACATGGTGTTCCCTCTTCAGAATATGAGGAACTGCGACGGCGATTGAGGAACGACGTTCAGGAGATGTGGTAAATATGATAATAACTGGATCAGACATTAAAACAAATTATGCTTAACATGTTACATGAAAAATTACGTGCTTAGTTTTACATTACAGGTATTACATTAGCGCCGAGTTGAATAAGTTCAAGAAGCACATTGATGAATTCACGTATGATCAAAGAGAAAAGGAAATACAGGATGTGATGAAAAATGCATGGGAGCATAAAAAGTCACTTATAATAAATATCGATAAATTAAAGAAGGCAGATGGTTACGATGAATGGCGGGAAAAAGAAGCAAAAGATTTATCTGATCTAGTTCAGAAACGATTTAGGTAATGCATCTTGCACGATATGATATAATCTATTAAAATATTTAATATATCAAAATTAAGCTATTTTAGTCTTGCTAACCTAATCTAGCTACCTTATATTTACTTTAAAGGTATCTACAAAATCCTGCTGATTGTAATAAGGCAAAGAAGCTGATATGTAGTTTAAATAAAGGTTGTGGTTTTGGCTGTCAGGTAAGAAAATTAAATTATGATAATCAAGTCGTTAAATAATGAAATAAAATGAGTGTATTCTTTTTCTGCAGATTCATCACATCACGTACTGCTTTTTAGTGGCTTACGGTACAGAAAGAACATTAGTAATGAAATCTAAAGGGTGGAGATATCACAAAGATGGCTGGGAATCTGTTTTTAAACCCCTCAGCGACACTTGTTTATCTACAACCGGTACTTCACATTCTAATTGGCCTGGAGATTCCTCTAAACAAGTAATATCACTGCCAATTGTAGACAACGTTTATCCTAAACCAAGGTCCCAGCCACCCAGCGTACCTGCAGACTTAGCGCCAAGACTGGAGAAGATTCACGGTCATCCTCTAGTTTGGTGGGTAGGACAAGTGTTAAAATATTTAATGCGACCTCAAGATCATGTAAAGAGGACGCTGGAGAAGGCGAAAGAGAAGCTTGGTTTTAAAAAACCTATCGTCGGTGTTCATGTGCGTAGAACAGACAAAGTAGGCACCGAGGCAGCTTATCATGACATAGATGAATATATGATTAAAGTGGAACAATATTTTGATCAACTTGAAACGAAGCCGGACGTGAAGAGAGTCTTTTTAGCTAGTGACGATCCGAAAGTGATAACAACATCTAGGAAACGTTATCCGAATTACGAAATAATAGGTGATCCAGAAATCGCCGAGACGGCGTCCGTAGCAAAACGATATTCGGATACTTCGTTACAGGGTATAATTATCGATATCCACCTTCTGTCGGAATGCGATTACTTGGTATGCACGTTCAGTTCTCAAGTATGTCGCGTCGCATATGAGTTGATGCAAACCTTTTACGCAGACGCGTATGATAGATTTACATCCCTCGACGATATATATTATTATGGAGGACAAAATCCACATCCCCATGTAGCTATTTTAGATCATAAGCCGAGGAAGAATGGAGAGTTAGAGCTAAAAGCCGGTGACTTGATCGATGTTTTTGGTAATCATTGGGATGGTTTCTCCAAGGGCTACAACATCAGAACTAGCATGACAGGATTATTTCCTAGTTTCAAAGTTAAAAATCCTGTTGATGCCGTAGATTTCCCCAAATATTCAAATATTCCTCTGTTGGAAAAGGACGATTAAATCAGAATGGTCGAGCCAAGTCATTCTCTGACAAAATG